ACCAGCTGGATGGAGGCAAGAGATAGAAACGGTGTGAAAATTTATTACAGGTAATGGTTGCAAATCTCCAGGGCAGGAAGGGAGCAGAGAGCAGAGACATTGCAGGAGATAAGGGTGAGTGAGGAGGTGAGGGCATGGCTGTGGGATGAGTGCATGCTTGAGATGGGGTAGGGGGAGCAAGGCGATGTCTTCATCTGGGTGCATCCCAGTGGTGAGGCTACCTGCAGGCCCCACTCCTTGTGCAGATAAACAACCAAAAATCTAAACAAAATTCTTCCCATCTGACTTCAACGCAAATAAACACACCTTCAGCTTTATATTTGTGAAGGTGGCAGTCATTAAGTTGGGAGCAACTCTGCACAGAGGGACTGATAGCACACAGTACTTACAGCTGTAAGATTGCCTTTTCTGTACCCATTTTCTAAAGCACATTGCAGGGAGGAGCTTTCAAATTGAAACTCCTGTTGGCTCCAAATTAACTTGTAATTAAAAAAAAATGACAGCACAATCAATGAACAGCTTTTGTATGTTTTTGCTTGAGCAACATTTTGCTACTTGCAAGGCTTTTGCATGATCTGTGCACCTACCTCTGAAGTGCTAGACAGGAAGAGCTGTTTGTGCGCTGATATTTCACTGTGAAATCCCACATTTGCCACTCTTTTTGGCAGTAAGTGGTAAGCTCAGCTCTGAAACTCATACACTAGTTCAAACCCCATTACAAGTGTAGCTTAGCTTAAGGAATGGCTATTCACAAAGCCAAGGCACAGCACAAAGACCTGAGGACTGGCAGGTCAGCACTCATCTCACTTTCCATCCTGTGTAACAGCATGCAAGCATCTAATTGTATGTGACAGTAGCTGCCCACCACATCTGGCATTTTTAGAGAAGTAAGATAATTTCTCATATCTCTGGTTTGCAACAGTTTCTCAGAAGTTATGCAGTCCTAAACACAGTTAGTTTTGTGCTTCTGAATTTGTTTTGTGGGGGCTGTAAGAAAGAAGGGGACACACTCTTTAGCAGGTTCTGTTGTGGTAGGACAAGAGGAAATGGTTTCAAACTGAAAGAGGAGAGATTTAGATTGGATAAAAGGGCAAAGTTGGTTTTGTTTTGTTTTTGTTTTTTACAATATGGTACAAAGTAGCACAGGTTGCCTGGAGAGGTGGTGGTTGTCCCATCCATGGAAGCTCTCAAGGTTATTCTAGACAGGGCTCTGAGCTGTAGGTGTCCCTGTTCATTGCAGGGGAGTAGGACTAGGTACCTTTAAGGAACCTTCCAACTCAAATGATTCCACTATTCCGTGATAAAGGCAAGAGTTTGGTATGGAGTGTAGGGGTGTGCATAGGTTGCATATGAGATGCATGTACATAGGTTCTGACAGTAGCAGTGCCTACAGTGGTGAGCAGGCTCAGTGCTGTGCAGATACACAGTGGGAATAAATGGTACTGGCCACCTCCATCCTCAAGCAGGAGCCTGAGAGCATGAATATAAGAAAACAGGTTTTGCCAGAAGGGTTGGAGTTGGTGAGGACTTCTGATTCCATCTAGTCCAAACCCTGCTGAAGCAAGGACACACAGAGCAGGTACTCAGGACCATGTCCAGAAAATTTTTGAAGACCTCTATGGAGGACAGTATCTCTAAGTAGGGAGGTAAGTTTTTAGCAAGTCAGGGTAATTTAAATGCTGGGCTTCAGCACAAACGAAGGATTACAGACGTCTAAGTGCTCCTAATGCACGGTTTTATTGTGATCTTAATGCTAAGATTTCAAGTCTGAGAGTTGCACAAGGCTACTGCAATCTGAGAGGAGTGTGTGTGTCTAAGCCGTTTCCAAAGCTTATCGCAAGTTCCCACAGGAAGAGATATGAATGACGTGAAAATATTACACTTCAAGCAGAGAGATTTAGGAGGAATGTGAAACACACCAAGGAGATGAGAGCAGAATATTCAGTTGTCAAAATAATGCTCTGAAGGCAGCAGCCCAGTTAAACCAACACAGCTGGGCTCCTCGCATCGAAATGTCCGTGCTGATGTGGTGTGTTTGCATCCAAACAGAAGAAAGCTCTTCCCGTTCAACTGCTGGTTGTGTTAATGATGCAGAAACTCAGGGTCTTTCAGATCTGATGTTGTTACGGGCAGGTAGCACCCTGGCGAAGCTGGGGAGGGCTTGTGCCCGGTGAGCATAGCACCAGGTGTTCTCCTCTGCACCTTTAGGGCAGAATGCCCTAAAAGCAGCATTTTTATCATGAATGATTGTTGCTTTCAAAAATCCATGCCTGCAAAAACCCAGCTCATGTTCCCTGGCACAGTTCTGTTCTCCCATGACATCCGTAACATCAGCCAGGTCTTTGTCGAGTCCTTCACGCTCCTCCAGCTCAGAAACTGGCTTCTTGGCAGGCATTAAAGTCCCAGCAAAAAGTGAGCTGCGAGCTGCTCAGGTGTGGTGAGAGGCAGAGGCTCTCTGATCTGGACCATCCATGCCATCTCTGCAGGATGAGAGCTGCACATGATTTTAATGCCACCGCTTGCCACCGGCTCTTTCTGATGAGGATATGAGGCAGTGAAGGTGCACAGCACCCTCCATCACCTCCTGACATGGCCTCAACAACAAGCCCCCCGACCAGCCTTTGGGAGCTGAAATTGCTTTCCGATATTAATTGAAGAATTTCAGTTTCAAATTTCTTATTGAAATACTCTGTAAATATATTTTTTGTCAGTCTGGGGACAGAGCACTGATTTGTTTCACTAATTATGAGCCAGCAGCTGGGAGCACTCCATTATGAGATATTTCACAAACAATCTTTGATTCAATTAATTTTGGGGAGGGGGAAAAAAAGCAAAATGATTTCAAGCAAGGCACACATTTGTAAAAATTACTTCTGTTTCCCAGGAGTACTGAGGAAGATTGAGTGACGTGTTTGTTGAATTCATGGCTCTGGATAGCTAGATTTGGGTTTGGTGCAGTTGCTGCCCCACATTTGTGCTGTGTTAGGGATCAGGAGTGCCCTGGAGCAGCAATTTGAGTGCTGGAGAAAAGGTGGGGGCACACCTGTCCCTTCCCCAGCCTCAAACTGAATGTGCACAACCCCTGGCTGGGCCCAGCTGGTGCCTTGCTGCCTCACATTCAGGAAACCTGCTCTGATGGTGTGGGAGGCACACAGCGTGTAACAAGTCTGGTGTAAGGTGGTGATGTCTACATGGTGCCTGGGGAGGAAGAGAAAATCCTCAAAGCCTTGTGACCAGCCCCAGGAGGGACTTCAATGCCTGTGTGTGCATGCAAAGCTTTGGAAATTTCCATTTTAATAAAAGCAACCTTGGAGGAGCATGAGCAATAACCTGTCTGCTCTTTGGCACTGACAGTTCAGTTGTCCTGTAAAATGAGATTTTGCTACCCTAGCGCAGCAATCGTGTTATCAACTCCTGCCTACATCAGCGTGCTTTATTAGAAGACAGCAGAAATAATTCTTTGGACATTAAGCGACGCTCTCGCTCCCGCTGTTATCGATGGGGCTGAGCGTGATTAAATCAGACCCAGAGGGGAGCCCAACAAATGCGTGCATCTCGAGGAGTGGATATTTGGTCCATCTGCAGCTGCTCTGAGGTGTAGAGGAAGTAGAGAAGTGTATGGAGGCGGTGTGCTGCAGGGCCCTGTGCTGCTGGGTGCTGGGTGCTTCACTGCAGGTGCTCTGGAGGTGCTGCCCTGCATGGGCAGAGGGATAATGCAGCAAGAAAATAGCGCAGTTCCCAGTAGTGGCTCAATCAGCATTTGCAACTGATAATGTGATTTTTTTTTTTTTTTTTTTATCTTGATAAACTATTGGCTAAATGTCACATTGCAGTCTCTTTTTCCTGTGACTGCATCTCTGAAAGTAGGATTATTAGTATTACTGGTATTATTTGATATGTCTTTTACAACACAGATAGTTCATTCCTCCGTGAACAGTTCATTTTTTCGCTGCAAGTCTAGGAGCAAACCTTGTTCATTTAACTTCAAATGTGAAGGAATAGTGAATAATATGAGTTGTATGCTATTAATGCTATCAACACCAAATTGCAGTGTGATAACAGGCATGGGTCCGCTGCCCTTGTACTCCCTGGATTAAAACCACTGCTAGCAAGTCTGTGAAAATAGTGGATATATACGGAAAATAGTGTGCTTAAGCCTTTGAAAATAAGGGATGAGCAAAATCTGAGCTGCTTGCAAGAAAAGCGTACATAAAGCAAAGTAATCTATAACGATAGGTTTCTGTAGGCAAACTGTAAATAAATCTGTGTGTTACCACGTGCTGCATACTGAGACAGCCATTTCCAATTTCTGAGGACTCTTGGTCACCTCAACCCCCATCAATATGTTGCTAGATCTCTGACCATGTACCAAGTGCCTTGTGAAGCAGCAAGCTTTGGCTGGATCCCAGAACCTTCAGAGATCATAGAATCATGGGGTGGTTTGGGTTGGAAGGGACCTTACTGATCATCCAGTTTCACTCACTGCTGAGGGCAAGGTTTCCCCCAGCAGCTCAGGCTGCCCCGGGGCCCATCCAGCCTGATCTTGGGCACCTCCAGGGAAGGGCAGCACACCGCTCTGGGCAGCAGTAACAGGGCCTCGCCACCCTCTGAGTAAAGAATTTCTTCATAGAATGGCCTAGGTTGAAAAGGACTGCAATGATCATCTAGTTTCAAGCCCCTTGCTATGCAGGGGTGCAGGGTTGCCATCCAGTAGACCAGACTGACCAGAGCCACATCCAGCCACCTTCTTAACACCTGACCTAAATCTCCCCTATAGAATCAGAGAAAGGCTCAGAGATGTCTCAGAGAAACTGCACACATAGACACAGAGAGAGAATCACAGCTGTGGTGTTGGAACAGGTCAGAGGAACCTGGTTTGACTTTGTTTTCCCTTTCTCTCCCTTTTTCCCTGACCTTTCCAGCTGGGCTGTGCACAGCGGTGATCTGGGACAGCACGTGTGTGAGTTGCAGCCAAACTCCTCTGTTCCCCCCATGCAGTGTTTGCAGCCCAGAATCACATCCCAGGACCTCCTCCCAGCTGCAACGTAGTGTCCTGGGGTGGGACCAAAGGCACAGAAAGGACAGCAGTGCAGCACAGCACAGTGACGTTACGCCACACCGAGCGAGCCGCTGCTCACTGAGTCCCATCACGTAAGTACCAGGCACGGGCATTGGCTGCACTGACATCCTCCATCAGCACCATCCCCTACTAACAAGTCCCAAGCCTCCTGCAAAGGGAAACCCAAATCCCAAACCAAACCAAACCCCAAAGAACATCCAGAAGTTTCTAGAAATCAATTTCTAGCAATCTGACCCCCAAATCCCAATCCTTTCCTCTCTCTGTCCCTCTCTCTTTTTTAAACTCACTTCTGAAGTTCACTATCTGCGGTTCAAACTGCAAAACGCATAATGAAGTAGATGGGGCAAATTCAGGTAGGCAAGAACATAATGAAATAAATGAGACAAATTCCTTGAAGTGCACATAACATGAAAATGAATCTCAGCTGTTTGTTAGAGGCTGCAGAGCCAGGGGTGGGCAAATTGAATCACAGGAAGCAGAGAGAGCTGGACAAGAAATGTTGATTGTCTCAATCTCCTCTCATTAAGAGCAAAATATTTTCTCAAGATTGAAGGTTGTAAAATATTTTAGCAGCACGCAATGAAGCTTCTTTGTGAAATGAAAGCAAAAAGCAAAGAGGTGAGCTGACAGACAGCCAGGTAAACGGGGATGCTGCTCCCTGTTTCTCACACAGGGCAGACTGGCAGCTCTGTGCTCAGGGGTCCCATCACATTCCAGTGCTGTGCCAACCAGCACTTGGCACTGAGCAAAGTTCTCATGTTCTTCCAGCATCTTTTTCATCTGGTTTTCTATTCTGTCCTAGAAAGTATCTTTGTTGTGTGAGAGGGGATGAGGTACAAGGTGGGGGTCTGCTGTGGTGGCTGTCCTTAGGAGGAGTTGTTCTGGCTGAGCAAGCAGCACAGTACAGCCTGTGCCTGGGCTCTGGCAGCAGCATGTGGTTCCTCGAAGAAGAGGAATAGTGGGAATGCCTCCTGTGAGAGCCTCTGGGACGTGCAGGGCTGCAGCTCTTGGGATGCAAAAAGAGCACGTGTCATGAGCTGGACGTTATTTTTGGCACCAGCAGAAAAGACAGCCAGTAAAGCCTGGCAGCTGTTGTTATCATTGAAAAGAAACAAGAGAAGTCCAGTGAGAATAATAAAAATAACCGGTGAGGTTCAGAAGGGGGAAGCGGGGAGCAAAGGCAGTCACAGGCAGGGCCCCTTGCAAGGTGCCTGTAGGGAGAAGCAGGGCTCCTCTTCCTCCTGCTGAGGACAAGATGTGATGGATACAAGCTATGGTTTCAGTTCTTCCTGCTGTGTCCAGGAAACATGCTGCCTGCCCCAGCTCCAGGGCTCTTGACATCCATCCCATCAACCTGTGTGGCTTTCAGGAAAGCTCTAGTTTGCCTGTGGGAATTGTGCCATTATCTTCACATGGACTAAAAAATACAGAGTGCGTTTTTCAGTTTTGGTTTTTTTTTTCAACCCAACCCCCAACATCCCCTTTAAGAACATCAAAAGGTTCAAAAAAAGCAATAAAGGCATCCACTAGCATCTCTGGAGACACGTGCTGCACTCTGCTAACCCAGCCCAGCCCTTGTGAGCCCTCCATGCCTCCAAGGCATGAGGGAGCTTCTCTCTATTTAACAAGCATCTGAAGACCTACTGCTGGCTTGTGGTTGTGTCAGTGAAGCCAAAAAAAGCTGGCATGGAGATTAACAATAATATATTTCCATTTGCTGCTCCGATTTATGCCTTCTATTGCAACATTCCGCAATGCACTTTAAACAGCACATGGACAAGAGCAAAGTCCTTCATTCAGCCATCCAACCACGCACCCACATGATAAACCCTTATATCTAGCACCAATCCATAGCTTGTTTTTCCTTCTCCAAGTATAAGAAGCTGGAGCGATTATTGCTTCAAAGCTTGTTCAGCACCCATCTGAGACATAACCTGCTCAACAAGTTTTGGGGTTAATGGTTACCATAAGCACAGTGGCAAGATAAACCTATATGGCTGAGGGACAAGGAGAAAGCTTTTTGGATGTTTCTTTTAGGCATTCAAGCTGACTTATGGGGGTCATCTCAGAGGAGATGATTACCATGCAGTCAATGTGCATACCTAGCAGCCCACCACGCAACAATTGCATGATCAATAGCCCATTACCCAACAACTGCTCAGCCTGGCAATCAAAAAGATGCTTGGAAAAGAATAAAAACCCAAAATGTTCTAAGGAAGAACGAGTACTCCCTCTGCCAAACTACTGAGCAAGTCAACAAGATGTTGCTAACCAACTTGCTGCCTCCCTGCGGACCATAAGACGTTGCTGTATCCCTAGTGGTGACTATCCCTGCTTTGTAAAGCATTTGCTAGGATTTCTCTCTTTACTACTGCTAGCTTCCTCATCTTCCCCCCATTCCTTAGTTGCTTAGAATTTGTCCTAAATCAATTGGATAGCATTTGTCCTCATTTGTTGCCTAAATCTTTCTCTGGGGATATGTCAAACCATCCCCAGTAATTGGTTTGAGACACCAGAAATAGGAGCAGAGCTCTTTTCCCTCTCTGCTGTGTGCAGCTCCCGGATCCATCATGGGGTCCCTAATGAAGAACTTGCTGACAGACCTCAACCGCTACGTCCGCTGCTTCCATGTCTTCCTGGCCAAGTCTACTGAGCACCAGACCATGAAGCAGTTTGTGGAGCAGCAGCTGCCAGGCCTGCTGGCAAGGTAATGGAGGGCTGGTAAGCTAACGGGGCACGGTGCTTTGTATAGTGGGTGTAAATCTCTCTGTTGTCAGCTCTCCTAACATCTGTAATTGTTTTTGCAGTATTGGAAGCGGGAAGTCTGCAATCAATATTCTAAGTGTCGGTGGTGGAGCAGGTATGCTATCAGCTTCACTATTGATATGCTTTTACCCTTTTATACAAATTGCAGTAAAGGCTTTTCTCAAAAAGTCGTCTGGAAGAGGCAAATGAACTCTCATTCTGCTACATTACTTCTTGAGGACAGAAAGGTTTGAACTGCCCACTGGCTTTCCATGCAAAAAACCCTAACTCAAGAGCATAAGTTAGGTCCCTCAGAGTATTTTTTTTTTCCTTTCAATTACTTTCCCCTGTAACTCTCATGGTCTACATCCATTGCACAAGCCCCTTCTGCAGCTACTGGCCCCTCCAAAAAACAGGGCCAAACATGAACCCAAGTCACCATCACATGTTCCTCCGGTTTGCCATCTGCTAATGGCACAGCTGTGGACACCTCCAGCCTTACCTGCATGTGCTTATCATAGAATGGCTTAAGTTGGAGGGGACCTTAAAGATCCCATGCACAGGATTGACAATACCAGATCAGGCTGCTCAGGGTCCCATCTAATCAGGCTTTGAATGCCTCCAGGGGTGAGACACTTACACAGCTCAGGGCAGCTGAGTAAAAAATTACCCTCTGAGTAAAAAATTTTGAAAGAAATTCTAACCCAAATCTTCCCTCTTTTAGTTTAAAGCCATTCTCCCTTGTTATACTTGTCCCAGTTTGCCCTAACTGGCACCTTACAGCCATGTGGGGGACATGGTGCTCCTGGTCAGTTTGATTTCAGTCTTCTGCAGGTGTAGGTGTCTGCTGCCCAGGCTTCACCGTGATCTGTAATATCAGAAGAAAAAGGCTGAATTTAACTAGATGGAAAAACAATACCAGCAGCACACAGTGGCTTCTTTTCATTACGTTCTTGCTTAAGTTCCTTCTTAATTAAAGTTTATATTTCCTAATTCTGCTCAGCCCATTAAGACATCAGACTATATGAACAGTTTATTTAAATGCTTCGGTCATACTATCTCCAGGGATTAATCTGAGTTTTGTTGATCTCTTCTAATAAGTAAAAATAATTGTATGTAAATGGTGGGTGTTAAGTAGAAAATAGTGTGATAGAGCAGAAACATTTCTCTCCAATCAAACGAAACCACTCGTCTGCCAATAAAATGCTGTTTGTAACAGGAACACTTTACTCAATTAGAAAGGTGCTTAATTACTTAATCAGGGGCACTCCAGTTTAGCGAGGAAGGTGTTCAGTCAATAATGTGTCAATGTTCATTTTGCAACGTAAAGGCTGACCCAAAGCATGTCCCTGCTGCAGATCCTTTTGGGGCCAGGAAAGAGCAAACTCCCTCCAATCCCCAACCTGATGCCAGCACCTGTGGCCTCATCCCCTATACTTCACAGGGAGGCAGCATTGAAGGAAAAGGTTTTCTCCCCACTTTTTCATGTCCTGTGAACTTTCTCCACAGTGAGAAAAAAAACCAAACCATTTAATGCAGCATCATATCCCATTACCCTTGCCCATCTAATGCATCTGCCTTTGCCTACAGCCTCTGCCTTATTAAGTTCACACTCCAGTGCGCAGCACTCTGTACCTTTAAAAACCATAAAAGTCATCAATGCTGCAATAAAGTAGCAACTGTGCTATAAACTATCCCGTTACGTAAAATGTTTAATTAGAAACTTAATGGCGAACATAGTGGTAGCCTTTAAAAGGTAATTGTGTTGGAGAGTTTAAATAATTCGGATAGCCTAATTGCCAAATTGTTGATAATGCAAGCTGCTGCAAATTTGACTGTAAAATGCCTCAGGACACTTGTTTGCATATAAAAGAGCTAACTGAAGTCAATTAAGGCTGTGGATTAAGTTATGAATCAAAGTGGTGCTTTTTTGGTTAAAAACAATACAGGGGTGGTTTAGCCACAGAAGAGTGGAAGGGGATATATTAACCTACTCACATATGGTAACAGGAAATTAATTTTTTTTAAATTCTGATCTGCACAGCCTTTTCAAAGGGATAATCAATTTTATAGGAAGTCGGCAAACCAACCAAAACAAACAAACAATTGCAGTAGTTACTTACAAATTCTGTTTTTCCAGAGTTTACCACGGATGCCTGCAAATGACTGACTTAGCTCTGATTTTCCAACGAAATACTGGGTGTGCAGTGATAGCAAAGCCACAGCTATTTATGCTATTTTGGAAATTAAATTTCCCTTCCCTCAAAGAACTTACCAGCCAAGATGTCAAGTAAATTTTGGTGTTATTAGTTGCTTTATGAAAGACTCACAAGTCTGAAAGTGTTGTATTCTTCCTTAGGTTTTTCTGTTAAGTTTTTGAGGCCTAAATGAGATGTGAGACCCTTGGTTTGGAGTATCTTGTTCTGACCCGTGGTGTGGGGCCAGAAGGTGGCAGAGAGCTCTTGGTGGTTAACTGGACCCACAAAGTGGAGGACCATGTGATGGGCTGAGCTCATGTGTACGCATTACATTGTGCTCCATCTGTTTATTCCTCTATTGTCTTTTTCACCTGCATACATTCTAGCAGAATAAGCAGAAGTATGCCCTAACAAAGCCATTCAAACCAGCCATAAATCATCCCTCAGTCAAGAGCATCATCTCCCTGAGCTTCCTATATGGTGGACAGGGAGAGGTGGCCAAGAGCAATGGCTAGAGCAAAGCCCTCAGTGGCAATCTGTTAAGAATTCAGAGCACCTCTGTGCTCCGTGCACTACCATACCTATGTGGTACATGTTCTGTACCTAAATGTCATGCATCAGACTTAAAATAGGGGCATTGCTGGAGCTCTGTGGTGCTGGAGACATTATTTACCTGAACTTTGCTTTCATCTCTTGTGCAATATTGCCTCTTTCCCTAGGTGAGATTGACCTGCAGATCATCTCAGCTGTGCAAGCCAGTTATCCAGGTGTCACCATCAACAATGAGGTGATAGAGCCAAGTGCTGATCAAATCCTCGAGTACAAAGGTATTTTGTCATTAAATAAATTAAAATTACATTGAATACTCTAAATGCATTAAAAAGAATTGAATTCTGGATGACCCCACATTCAAAGTCTTTCTTGCCAGAAAATTGGCTCTTAAAAGTTATGAAAGTCATAGTTTTATGCTTCCCTGCCATCTTTGCTTTTCAGCATTCATTTTCTCACAAAAACCTTTGTCTCTTACACTGCAAAGTTCATTACTTTCCACCAGTCAGGCAGCCTGGCTCACATTAATGGAGGAAACCAAAATATTTCACAAGGACAGAGTGTAAGCAGGTATGTTTTGTTTAGATTGCCCTACAAACTGAGCATTAAGTATCAGTCTGCAGTTTGATTACCTTCGTGGTTTATTGCTGGATTAGCACCTACCTGGCTTTACTAGTAGGTAATTATGGCCTTGCCAGAAAGCTGCTGCTGAATGAACATGGTGCTAACATGCAAATCTCATCAGCAGTTTGCCTTACTGGAAATGCTCCTCTAGTAAATAGCAGATTATAAAACCACAATGTAAATCTTCCACTCTTACTCTTGCTAAGGTTCTTTAAAAAAGAGCATTCCAAGCATGAAGCAAATTGAGGAATATGAAGGTGGAAAAAAACAATAATCCCCAGAAATGCATCATTTCTTGATACCTGTCTCCTTATCTTGTGGACCTGATCTCTGAAAAGATCATTTCCCAGTAGCTTTTATGTTTGTCAGGATTGAGATGGTTAAGAATGGGCACGAGAATTTGTTGTGTTTATCAGACAGTCTGGGCACTAGCACATAGCTCTGCTGTCCTATCTGGGCAGTGGACCATAGCCTACATGAGGCTGAGTTTGAGCTGCATCTTCCTATATTCACTTTCTACCACCAACAGGCAATCCTGTTCCATTTTGATGAGTTTCTTTCCTGCAGAAAGTTAAAGAAAATATAAGATGCTGTCCTTATTTTAAATTTTATGCTAAACTAGAAATGAAATATTCATCTGAATTTCTCTCTTTAAACTTTCTTATTTGGTAATTAATCATGTCCCCAGTAGGTATCATTAATTAAGTTTCTGAGCTCTTTTTTCCACGGAGAATTAGAAATGTTATCTGTGCCTCTGAGGATTCCGTAGTTCTGTTTTCTGCCTAACCATTTCTCCTTGAAAGGAGAAGCCAAGCTCACAAGAGAAACTTTCTTCCTGGGACTTGCGGTGATGACAAACTGAGCTTCCTCTTAGGAAGTGTCTTTGGATGGAGTCTCTTCTCACAGTCTTGTGGCCAGGCAGAGGCTTTCCTTCATTCCTGGCCTGTGTCGGGGTGAAGCCCTTTGATGACCATGGCCTGTGCTTTGGTTTCATATCCTGAGCAACATGGTGTGACATGGTATCCTGAGCAAGCTGGTATGGCCAGCCCAGTACAGAGCCATGAGTCAACGTCCTGTGGGTGGCTTCTGCCAAGGAAGCAATCTGGGTTGAAACAAGGATAAAATTTAAGCAAGTTTTCTATGTGGTTAGAGTGATATGTCTTGGGTTCAGATGAATATTTGGGCAAAAGCTTCCCATAATCAGAATGAGTTTGTCCTTTCTGAAATTTTGCCTTTAAAACCAACCTAGGCACACAATTCACTTTCCTTCCCAGTGTCTCCTTGCAGACTGCATAGCAATTGAACTGGAGCAGATTGCACCAGATTACGTATGATGGTGATATGAACCGCTGCTGAAGGAAGCCCAAGTTTAAAACAGCAAATTAAATCTGAACTGCAAGTGCTATGGCCAGTGACTGATAAATGGAAGCAAGCAGAGTTACAGCAGCAGCATCCAAAAGGGATGCCCCATTTCTGGCCATAAAAGAGGGGAGATAAGAACTGATGGAGCATTTCTCATCTGTCTGACTGGGATTTATCCTAACCACAGCCCAAAGGAGGAACATTGTGACTAGCACTGTAAAGGCACTGGTGTTAGCAAATCATGTTTTGAACATGTGTTCTGTAGCTAAGGCTCAGTCTGCCTTTGGGCCATTTAAGTTTTAAATTTATGTTAACTCCAGCGAAGCACAGGAATTGCATCAGGGCTAGTTTTGTCCTGGAGCAGTTCTAAGCCCTAAGCAGGAGCACAGCAAGATGAGCTCCATATGCCAGCAGATGGACATTTGTATTCCAGCATCTCCTCAAATAAAAAATCATCCCACAGTTTGCTCCTATGAAAGCAACAAAATGCCGTGGGGAGCCAAGCCCATTAGTGTAACTTACGCTTTGAATCTATTCCTCCATCCTTAAGTTCCTGTATTTATTCAGTCAGATCTGGGAAACCCTTCGGCACAGCTTGGCTTCTGCTCTGCCATGTGAGTGTTGCATGACACCCCAGTGAAGGGACCTCGTTTGGTATTTGTCCCAACCAACATCTTTTAATGCAGCTTGAACCAGCCATGTGAAAGAGTTTCTTTTATTTTTTTCTATCAGATAAAGACTAGGGGAAACCAAATGAAGGTGCAAAGAGGAAACATCAGACACTCTAAAGACGTCACCTTACAAAGATCCGGAGCTCCCTTCTCACACAGAGGTTCAAGATTTTAAGAATGCTATTGCTGTATTAAATTGGTAACAAAACCTTCAACATGAATCTGGATGTATTAAGGCTTTGAATATAGATTAATCCCATATTTGTAATTGAGTTAACTCTGTCCTGTCTTCTCCCATATTTCAGAACGTGTGGCTGCCACCTCAAACCTCGACAATGTAAAGTTTACCTGGCATGAGGAGACAGCTAATGAATACGAAAGGAGAATGAAGGCAGAAAAGAAGTCTCAAAAATGGGACTTCATTCACATGATTCAGGTAAAAGTTAGCAACGTAAAAGTTGTCAAAGATTTGGCTCTTAAAAGCAAGCATGAGATATGCAACTGCATTATCCTCTCTGGGGGAAGAAAGGTGAGTTTATTTCCCTATAATTTAAAGTACTTAAGCAGAAGTAAACTGCAAAAATGAAAGATGACTTACAGCAAAGCAGCTTTTAGCACAGTGGTCCTATTTACCAGGCTGCGGGCAGCAGTCAACTGAAAACACATTGTAACTAGCATTTTCCAAGTCCCTTGTCCTCTCTGTGAAATTGCCTTTATGTTTCCAAGTATACCAAAGCCGTGACAAGCTGTCCTCACAGCTAAGGAAGGCAAGCTTTTTCATCTCAGATTAATGAAGAAACATGAGGTTGGTGTGGGGGAGTAATGAGAGAAGACCAGGGTTGCTCCTGTTGGTTCCTTTTACTTTGTGGTACCAGTTATAGTGTTCTCCAGGACCTCACTATGTCCCTGTGTTTCTGCTCTTCCCAGATGCTGTACTATGTGAAAGACATCCCTGCAATTATCCAGTACTTCCACAGCCTCCTGGATGCACAAGCAAAGCTCCTCATCATTCTGGTGTCAGGTGAGAGCTGCTCCATGACATGTTCAGTAGGGTAGAAGCCATGGGACCTCTGGGATTCCCAGAAAGCAGTATGTATTTTTGTATGCAATACATTATTTTGCCTATAGAGGGAAACTAGAATAAACAGTGCCCATTCACCTGCATCTACAGAAATCTGTACGTTGTACCTGCACATCTGTATCTGTACCTGCACAGCTCCTTGCTGCAGATTGTGAAAGCTGAAGGCTTTGTGAGCCAGTAAGCCCATTCTGTGGGGTACAAAACCTTTCTCTACCTTCTTCTCTTCCCTGTCCTGCAGCTCTGCCAGTGATGGAGTAAGAGCCACTTCAAGCTCTGCTGCAGCTGTTTTCTGCCAAAGGTTTTCAATGCCAAAGGCATTGTCTTGCTCCTGGAGATGTGCAGCATTAAGCAAACGGCTAGGGCAGGGCTCAGCTGTACTGTACAGCAGCTGTTGGAGCACATGTGGCTCATTTTCTTTTCAAACTATATGTCTCCTTAATGTAGCTCTTTTAGGTGGAAGTCAGTTGGGTTTTTTTTTGTTGCATTTTGTTTTGTTTTTTTTTTCCTCAGAGGTTTAAGTGATTTCATTGAATTTGGCTATATCTTCAAACTGAAACGTATTTGATGGAGTTCCCTTTTTTCTTTGCCTTCATGAAGTTTCCACAGAGAAACTGCATTTCTCTGACTTGTTTTTCTGCAAAACAATTTTGCTTTAGAGTGTTTTCAAGCACTTTGCTACAAGAAATCTGTATCTCAGATGATCTGAGTTAATGTTATTGTTCTTTGAGTAACAATAATAATATCAGTTCATTGCTAATTAGGTGCCTATAGTTATAGTGCCTATCATTGAAATTCTTTTTCAGTTGCTTAACCTGTCCCTTTTGATGTTCATGAAATGTGAATACAGGGAGGAACCTGTGTCTATTCAAAATCAATGTCACTAAAAATTTGAATTTATGAAATTTATTGGGAATCTTTCCTGGGCCAGGTGGTTCCTTGTATCATTCCTCCTGTTTCTCCTCCTCACACCTTCAACACATGATGCCCAATGATTGCATAAATAATTTCAACTGTTTTGTGTTCAGACAGAGGAAGTTACAAACACAAGTGCCCAGTAATAGCTCTTTCCTCTGCAGGTGCAATTAGTGAATAGGGTTCCTCTGAGAATCAGAATTAGTCTCACTAAACTGGGACATGGCAGTGTGTCTGGGGAAATGTGTAGACTACAGGAAGAGGTCAGAAAGTGGAATGGAAAATGCTGGGGGAAAGGAAAACCTTGAGGAAAATAATTGTATAGAGAAAGGAAGGAGAATTGAAGCAAAAAGAAGGAAAGAAAGATAAGCAGAACAAAAGCTCATTTTAAAAAAAAAAAAAAGAAGGTAATGCTATTTCCTACACAAACACATTAGGACGTGTTAATTAAAAATCATTCTGGGAATAGGATTGATAGCAGTGGGCTCGGTCACTCGGTGGAGGTTGCAATGCCGCCTGTTCCATCCCTGCTGGGAGAGCAGGCGAGTTGCAAGAGCTGTATGGTGTTATTTTTAACACATTTTAAAAATGTGTTTACATCGCCTTGAAAACAAAAGTAGTGCCATATGCTGAGCCTATCGAGAGCTATTATAATAATGCTTTGTTCAGGTAGTGTATAATTGCTCAGCTCGGAGATGGCACCGAGTCATACAACACTGACACCAGCAAATTTTCTGCTATTAGTGCTCTGCATTCAATTTCCACCAGGTGAAAGAAAATACCGAAGCCCTTCTAAACACCAAACTGTTTATTTGACTATAAATAACTGCTTGCAGATAAAGCATTTGCAAAAGTGCCAAGCAACTGGTTTTAGCAGTTAGGGAGATTTATAGTCATAACTCTCAAGAGCTGCTCATTAGGCTCAAAGGTATTTTCATCCTGTCCAGTCATTTTGGGTGATCCTTTTATAAATGATTTATAGCAGAAATGCTGAATCACAGATCTTGGATGAGGGAAAACAAAGAAATGAAGATGTATCTGGGGAGTTTTCAGATTACCCCATTGGTTTTCTTTGTAAAATGTCTTTAGAAGAGGGGGGACTTAGTGTGGGCTCTTCTGCAGGTGATTGCAGGAGTCTTTTCCTACCTGCCCCATCATCATAGAATCACAATGGTTGGAAAAGGCCATTAATATTATTATTATCTAGTCCAACTGTCAACCCAACATCACCATCCCCACTAAACCACAGCCCTGAAATCTTTGCACAGCACAAACAATACACAGCCTAAGCATCCTTCTGGCACCACTGGGAGGACTGCCTGGGATGCATGCTACCTGTACCCCACAGTGTGTAACCATGGTGGGAGTGAAGGCTGAAGGAAGATGGTGCAGCTTCATTCCAGGCTCTACTACAATAATTTTCTCTACCATGTGTCTAACTGCATGGTAAATGTGACCAGGGCTTTGCACCCTGTGTATTTAATGCAACAGGTAAATAGTTTACTGTCAAGAGGTGTTTTAATGAAGCTCTCACATAGATCAATCAAGTAAGTAAATTGGATGAAGGAATGGAGGAGGATTTGGTCTTCCACATGGACACAGAAATCTAGAGAATGGTTTAATTCAAGAAGATATCACTGAATAGCTGAATACAAGGACTACAGAAGAAGGTCCCTGGGAGACACAGGCCATTGCATTGGCACACATAGGTGGAAAAGAGTTGGAACACTTTGGACATGGAAAAGGGAAGACTGTGAGAACCAAAAGGTGCTGGATTTGCTAGCTGGTGAATGTACCCTGTCTCCCACAGCCCCACTCCAGAGGGAGCAACTGTCTCCACTGTACCCCATGGCTTGAGTCCTAACTCTGGGAGCCCCAGTTTGCAGTGCAGACAACAGCTGAAAAAAGAAATAGGTCATAATTTGTTCAAATAGTGTTTTTCCTGAATGTTTTTCTTATGGTTTATTTCTCAGAAACCAGTGGCTGGGAAACTCTCTGGACGAAGTATGGTTCTTCCTTTCCTACAGATGACTTCTGCACTTTCATATCCTCTGCTAATATCAAAGGGATTCTGGATTCAGTTGGGCTGAAGTACAAGATCTATGAGCTTCCATCCCACATGGACATAACTTGCTGCTTTACTGAAGGGGACAACGATGGGGAGCTGTTGCTGGATTTCTTGACAGAAACCTGTGAGTTTTCAAAAAATGCTCCTCCTGAACTAAGGCAACAGGTACTGGAAGAATTAAGAAAGCCGGGATGCAGCGAAAACAGAAATGGGCAAGTGTTTTTTAATAACAACATGAGTGTGATAATGGTTGAGCCCTGAATTGAGAAAAACGAATGATGAGATATAAAATATTAAGACTTGAAGTAGGGGGGAAAAAAAATTCTTTACAAATGGTTCAATTTACATAGTTTATTTTTTGGAGTCTGTTAAGAAATCATTACTAACATCTGCTGTTGTAAGTGATCTTTAAAAGCGAGATTAATTCTGTAGTAATCTATGAAGGTGTAACTCAGCAGTAAATTGTGTTTTATCATGTGGATATGGTATAATCAGATATAACTTGGATCATCAGCTCAAACACTGCAGAAACCAGACCACTTCCTCTGGCTGATGGTTAAGAAATAATCAAGAACTATACATGATTATGTCATATGCATTTAAAAACTCTCAGCAAAATACACAAATTACAGCTTCTCAGTGCCACTTTCAAGACTGGAGCCTTGAAACAACCAACTGCTTGGGTGGCTGCTGAATATCTTGAGTACCTTAAGCTTGTTGTGACTTCAAGATCTCATGTCTCCAGTTACCACGAAAGTGACCTAAACCTTCTGCATGTGTGACATTTGCCTGCTCCTGCCTCCACGTGCAGCTCTGTGTGATAGCACTGCTTTCCCATTGCTGTATTTTCACTTTATTCTTATGACATTGCAACAGCAGTGTCCTTTCCCTGTGGTTCATATATATGGCAGCTACACATGCTGGGCTGTAAAAGCACTTCGGGTACTGGGTCCATACTGGTACTGAAAGATGGAAGCAAATAAAGGCGGTCATGGCAGAGGATTGTTGACAGCCAAACTGGAGGAGTGGATTTCACTGGTGCTAAGCCTTGGTTAGGAATCAGCTATTGCTGTAATGGAGGGGCTTTTTATTTTTTGTTAAAAACATAGGCTTTCTGGTTGTGGCCTATGACTAGCTCGGCTGCAAAGGGCCGTGCTCATGTTTTGAGCTTTATAACTTGGAAGACATAAAAATAAACCCTGAAGCTGAAGTGACAAATTTCAGTGGGATTTCTTTCCTTGTCTGTGGAATCACGCCAGGTCAATCTATCCAGAACATGGTAGAAGATGTCCAGCAAAAATGTACTTCTCTTCCCCAGCCCTTTCACCCTCTGGGGCTGTCTCTGCTCTGGTAACCAATGTATTTGTTTTGCTGAATGCTTTCATGGTTTTAAGAAGTGCAGCGCTCTCTACGAGGTGCAACGCAGAGTGGAATGCAATACAGCCGCTTGGATGACTTTAATAGTCTGAATGCTTGGTGTACCCAGAGGGACAGGTGTGATGTCTGCCATTGAAATAGCTCGGTTTCAGTGTGAGAACGGTGTACTTTAGCTAATGCTTCAGTGGCATGAAATAATGTTTTATTTCTACATATGTATTTCCAATATAATGTGGATGATTGAAGATTTGAGGTGATTTACAGGAGAATGCATCAGACATTAATACCCATTTCTGTTCATTTTAGCTGAATTATTTGAAACACACACTTTGCCTAGTGATCAAATATTAATTCCAGCGTGTTTTAGAACATTTCCACAGCATTTCTCCGCTGTTGAACAGAATAATATCTATTGCCACTTTCACATAGATTCCTGCATTAGGAGACCTCGGTACATCTATAAGCTACTACAGTGATGTGCCAGAAAGGGATAGAAAGAAAATCTCTCATTAGGACAGATTCCTGCACGCGCCTCTAATGGAAAACAAATTAAAGCTGCAGCTATTTCCATAGCTCTTTTGTGTCAACGACCTCTTCTAAGCGGTGCTCGTGGAGGCAATGACCTCTGCATATTGCCACACTGACCCTGGAAGAAGTGATGTCTCTTTTGGAGGCCCTACGATGCCATAACAAAAGAAAAAGCCTAACAACAGCAGCGGCTGCATGGCCCATTCTGTGATTTTTCACAGGTTCAAAATAGCAGAAACAGGCATTTTAGAGTTTTCTGGGTAGGGCTGTTCTGAAAATTTGGGAATGGTCCCACCTCACGGTTGAGCAGGAAAAGAAGGTAAACAACAGAGAGGATCTGAAGGGACGAGAGAGGATATGAGCAAAAAGGGAAGTAGAAAGGTGATTCAGAAGATGAGAAATGGAGCGCTTGATGGGTGTGTGCCTTTAGATGCAGCCTTGTTTCAAAGCAGATTTCATTGGGAAATGGCACCGTCACCCAAGCTGGAGAGGAAAACTCCTTATCTCCACACTGTCGGATCCTCTGCCATGGTTTTGAGTTCTGAGGAGAACTTCATTGAAAAAAAAGGGAGAAAATGCAGTGAAGTTCATTCTGCATAGGTGGTTGCTTCTGTTGGGCTGAGGGAAGGCTGAATTACAAAAGAAAACATAAGGAATGTATTGTTTTTCATTTTAAATCTGTAACACAAACATTTCCAAAAAGTAAACGCTGCCAGTCTTATTTAGTAGGAAATGAGTGCTGGGAAAGACAATTTTATATTCATTTTTTTAAAATAAATCTCTCTTTTGTGTATTTCTCAAATGCTTTCCCAATAGCCTGAAGCGCCACATTTTCATGTGAGCATCACCCTGAATTGCACGGCACGATGCTGCTGTTCCAGAGCAGGCCTGGGGAGTCTGACCCCAACACAGACTGGGGTTTTGTGTGGTAGCAGTTTCGATCTTACCTGCGTGCTCTCCACATGGAATTATCTGCTTTCCTCTCAAAAAGCCCACCTTATCTCAGCCAGCAGCCTTCTCTTCTAAAGGCACGTTTCCAGACTTCACTCTTTGCAAACCCTTGGGGGCCAGTGGGCCAGGTCTGCCTTGCTCACATGCCTGCAAGCTGCCTTTATACCTATAGGGTGTATTTATATGCTTTTTGCACAGGTTTGCTAAGAGCAATGGCCTTACACTGTCATAAAGCAGGCTGAAACACAAAAGGCTTCAGGCAGCTCGTGTTAAAGACACATCAGTAAGGATCCTGGTCTTCTCAGGTACATCCTTCCTGCATCACATACATCTGTGCGAGCAGCTTCAGGTCTGTGCCTTTAAATCATACCTAGGAAAATATTCTCGCTGCTCTGTTAATTACAACAGCAAATTGAACAAATGTACTTACAGCTCAGTTGCTGTCGCCATTTCTACATCAGTGTAATTCATGCTTGTAGCCCATGATAGGATTTTTAATGTCATTACACAGTAGGGCAAAGTCTTCATTTTTAATAAAAATACAAATGCTAAAATGAAATGGATTAATATCTAATTTTACATCTTCATTTACACGATGTGCAAAATTATCTTAAATATTTGTTATGGATGGAGTGGCTTTCCACCAATTTAAGCTTTTTTCGAACTGGAGAATGTTAACATAAATTGTAGCATAAATCATTGCCTTGTAGAGTACCAGAAGGCGCATATAAAAACCCATATCTTTACTGCACATATTTCCCATTAACCATAATCTATTAGTAATTGAAGTTCATTACAAATTCTTGTAGACTTTATTGCTATCATGCTGCATGACATAGTGAACCTGGCTTGCATAACAAGAAGTCCTTGCTGGGAAATATCCTATTAACAATGACAGTGCATTTGTCATTGCGATAATAAATCCAAGGGCTGCCTGTAGATTATAAATTATTGTGGCGCCATTTCCACTGTTGTAGTTTAAAAGTTTTGTCAGCACTTCCATTTTAAAGCCCTGCTTTTCAGGGAGTTATATCTTGACCATAAAAATCTGCAACGAGATGAAACTCAGCTTACAAGTTCTCAGCCTGAGAGCACGTTTCTTCTCCCAGCACCATTCCTACTTCATCCACATGAAAGACTGAGAAGCAAACTCTGTGGTTGTGGAAGATTTTTTTTTCTCTATTTGCTTAGCTTCTAATTGAAAAAAAACAAAACAAAACAGGCCATTTGACAAGTAATTTGTCCATAATCTTAGAATTTAAAATATAACATGGCAAAAAAGATGGGAGCTCACTGATTTTCACAACTGAAAAGCCTCAGACCTCATCTCCAGGACTTTGGGGATGCAATGGGCAAGTCCTGGTTCTTTTCAAAGGAGAAACTGAAAAGGAATGATGTTGCCTGCCTTGCAAAGGTGTTTTGAGGATTAATTATGAGAGTTGAAATCCTGGCATCCACTCAAGTCATCCTCCATCATGTCTATACAATTCTTTGAGCTTTATATATGCTTTAAGTGTTATTAAAAGAAAATTGCCACAGAGTTGAACTTTAAGTGTTAATTATGACTGGAGATATAAATGACATCGGGTCAAACCTTTCCCAATTTAACTCCGTAATTGACTTCAGCTCGTTACACCAAGGGAGATCTGGCTAACTGAATGCATCTGCCTATTATATTTCTCTGCTGCCTATAGCAATGTATCTAATTAGCTGGACGTAAGCATTATGCTTCAATGACTTCTAAATACAGTAGGGTGAAGCCTTCACATCCCTAAAATGACCTGGAAAACTTTCCTCCCACCAGCAAGGCAGGGTTTTCTCTTCATCCTTCAATACATGTCCTGTCTTGAAGTACTGCTTGTGTTTTCATGGAACTGAAAATTGATTTTGCTGTGAATATGGTGATCATATTCACATCTTTTCACATCCAAAGTATCTTCCATGTCAAAATGTCCCAAATTGTTTTAAATCTTGATATGCAAACTGCTGAGGTGCAGCAATCTCCTAGATGAGATTCAGCAGCTGTTGACTGCATTTCAGCACCATTTCACAGAGATTTACAGTGGCTGACACCAATGGAAGCAAATACACCGAGAAGCAGAAAGCAAATACTGGAGCTGGCACTGCACTGGTGTGGGCATTACCACCACATCTCCTCTGGCCAACATTACTGTCAGATTGATGCTTTCCTCATTCTTAGAAGTGGTGGGATGTGGTTTGGGTCCAAGGGTGGCTGAAGATGAGTCCTGGTGCCCATCACTGACCCAGCACATTCCACAACATGTACTAGTGATAGGAATGAGTGCTTGGGACCAGCTTTGATGCTGCAGTCCTACTTGTGTACTCCATCACATTACTGATGACGAGAGGCTCTTCTACAACACATGAAGTCAGCCTTCATTACCTTGCACTCCCCAGGTCTTTAGAGTTTCCTTGCACCTCAAAAGCACTTCACCAATGGCCTCTGCTACCCACTATAGTCTGTATGACAGGTGGAACTGGACCTGATGGGTGTGAGGGTATCTTCTCTCCTTTTCTTTCATTCCTCCTTTCACTCCCAGGTGAATGAGGATAAGATGCACAGATGTATGGACTCAGGGTGGTCCTGGTGTGACTCAGAATGGTGATGTTATTCAAGAGCAGTTAACTGTTCTAAATAAGCACTGGAAAAATGACCATGGCATGTTACGGATTTCTTACTCAGTTTTATATATTCTGCTTGTTTTGTATGTTTGGGCCTGAAGCCAAAAAAGACCCTACACCGAAAATCAAACCAAGCCAAACCCCAAACCCCACAAACAATAAACAAAAACAGCCTCACAACCAATAAACAAACAGCCAATTAATGATTCTTTGTTTGCCTTAAGCCTAAACCATATCATCCTTTGATGTTGTCATTCCCAATTTGAAATCCCTAAATCTCATAGCATTACTTTCCAACACAAATAGAATACCAGGCCCCAGTATCTTAATGCTACAAATAGGTATTGATATTTTATAACAGAGTAACTTTGCAGAGGTGGCAATGAGATATTTCTTCTGGTGAGGATAAACAGAATATTTGCCATCATAATTAATTTCTTTGTTTTCTTACAGAAAACAACATTTTGGGAGGCTATTTTGAGGATCAGGTACATTACTGTGGATCCTGGCGGAGATGAATTAGTGGCTGCAGTATAGGTGATCTTGCCAGCAATGAATAGCAATGCAATTTATCATACGCTCCCGTAATTTATCTCGTGACTATATATTAGATTAGATAAAGACAGAAAGACATGAGAATTGAATTGACTGAACTAACACTGTAAGCTTACACCTGGTTTTATTGAGGCTGACAGGGAGATTTCTGTTGCCCACATTGCAATCAGCATTCAGCCTCATATTTTTAATTTGCTTTGAAGTCTGATCTTGTCCAGCAACAAGAAAAAGGCAAACTCCACATTAAAGAGTTTGTTAATCATCTCTGCTAATTCATAGCCAATACAAATTTTTCTCCAGTGTGTACTCCGTACTCAATCATTTCAGAGTGGTAGTTATAAAAGAAACTGTTGAAGCTTAAAAATAACTGCAATAAGCAGCTGTGAAACAGACACAAACACTCATTACGGGCTACCCCATTTTCAAGGTAAAAAAACAATGGTTTATTTTGTTCCCTTCCAACAGAATCCATGCTTCAAAATCCACTTTTCATACCAAATCAGTCTGTCTGTAAGACAAACTGTCTGCAGCCCGGAGTGTTTACCTACACAAAGAGATATGCTATGCTGCCTGCAAACTCTGTAACACCACAGCTATGGTCTTTGGGCTCGTTGCAAACCAGTGATGGATATCTGTTCCTCTGCATTGCTTCCCTATCATATCTCTTTGTCCTGCTGCTATAATCGATCACAGATTTTTCCATCAGGCTTTGTGTCAGGCTGGGATAGTGAACATGACTTGCTTAGAACAAACTGCTTCAAAACGTACCAAGCTGAGCTCAGGAGTCAAACTGCTCTAAAAATGATTGTTTTGGGCACGTCTGTGAGTCCCATGCAGTATCAGGAAGTCATTAATGTGCTTTGATGTTAAGGGTTTGGGATTGCTATTCTCTAACTAGGAAGCCTGCCGCAGACATCTCTGCACTGTGGAGCTGGGTTTTAAATAATGAGCATTGCCTGCCTCTGCATTTTCCTGGTTCAGAAGGAAATTGCAGCATGGGAGTCAGTAGCTGGGCCTGGATGAATTTGCACACAAATTTGGGGATTCAAGTTACAAAGTCACACTCAAGCTTTTGTGTTAGGCACTTTCTGCTTGCTATCAGGAACAAAAAGGAATGAAAGCAGAACAGCCATCTCTGCTCTGCATAGAAATATATATTAAAGATTCACATTGCTTGGTCTTCATAGGAGAACTAAGCTATCAGTTCCTGACTTTAAAAGCTCTCCGGGGATTACTGTTTGTTTTTATAGTGCCTAGCACAATTGGGTCCTCTTGGTTGGTGGTTTTTTGATGCACCTGTAGTAAAAATAGCACAGGATTTTATTTATTTATGTTTATGTGAAGGAAAGAACATTACTTATGGAAGAGAAATGTAAGGACTCGATCCAGATTTGACTAAGGAAGTTTGGGATTTGTTGTCTTGCAGGTAAACCTCCTGAGCTGGGCAAATGATGTAAACCATTGGGGAGCTGGCCCACATGACAGAGGAGGGTAGTGCAAATTACCTAGGAAAACCTAATTCTGGCATGATTTATAGAGAGGGTACAACCTCCCTGTAGCCAGGAAAGGGACACAGATGCTGTGGTTTCCTGTTCAAATAGCTTATGGACATGTAGGGTCATTCATCACACATTGCTGTAGATCCCAGGCCAACATATATAAAAGGCTCCCTCACAGCAAACACAGCTTTCTCATCTCCCATCTGCCTGCACCAGCCCTGCTAATTACTTCCCTTCTCATTACCGTGTTGGCTACAGCTCACCTCCAAGCCATGTTGATGTGCCCCAAGGGTTGCCTGTGCTATCAAAATAAGCCCAGGAGTTATTGCTGGTTAAGCTCAACCTCTGGATGATTACAATTCCATTTGGAAAGCAAACTTGCTCCAAAACTGTGGGATTTTTTCAGTTTGGTTTTTAGTTAAAATAAGAGGTGCTACAGCTCAGTTTCTCATCTATATGTGGCTGTAGATGAATGGTTGAGTTTTTTATCTAGGACATGTACCTCTGCTTCAGAGGAAGAGGTCCAGGGTTGTAGATCAGTGGCCTGGGCCAGAGGGAAGGGGTAGAAGTGTCACAGAATAGAATCATAGAATCGTTAAGGTTGGAAAAGACTTCTAAGATCGTCTAGTCCAACCATCCACTTACCACCAATTTTGCCCACTAGTCTCTATGTATTTTGATCTGTTGGACCATTCGCAACCCAGCCAGTGCCATGAAACGATGCTCATCCAAACCCTCACCCTTGCTCCAAAAGAAAGGCAAAAACACTGAAAGCAATCCCAACCTCAGGGCAGCAGAAAAAGTACAGTGAGAATGCTGTGATTCATATCCGAAACTGCAGCAGCTTTTGCCCACCACGTGCCACATCACTGCTGAAGGCTTTGGGGGCTCACAGCTACACAGAACACTGGGGATGGAGGAGGACATCACTGCAGTGAGAATTCGGAGATCAGTTTAAGATCCCCCCAAAATTGCTGAGTGCTCTTTTAAACACATCAGCAAGTTCCTGGCTGTACCAGCACAAAAAGAGTAGGGAATCGAAAATTGTGTAACAGAGTTTTAATTGCTATTCCTCTTTTACTTTCCTAGAAAGCATTAAAATTTATGATGTGCCCAAATGACTGACGCTTAAAAAATGCTTCTGATTTTATTTTTATACTCATTGTGGCCCTTTGCTACTCTATAGCTAGTGAAATAATAAATAAAGGCAATCTTATCATTTACCTCCATCTGATATTATAAAAATGCTAATTTTAAAAAGGTTACCTGGAATCAGTGGGACACTTTGATCTCAGCCATTAGCACACTGAAGTCTAGCTCAGAAAAGTGCTCCTCCCCAAAACACGCATTTTGTTAAAAGCTGTTCAGTGCCCATAACCATTCTGCTGATCTCGAAATATGTTCGCCTCGCAGGGCAGAGCTAACCTGTGCATATGGAATGAGCTCCGCTTAATGTTGTGTTAAAAGAGTTTGGTCTCTGGAGCAGTCACTCGTCTTAATAACATGTAATCATATG